CACACCCACACACGCACCCATCCAAACGTTCAGGCGCTTCAACTCCAAGTGGCTCTGGCCGAGTCTCGCCGCCCTGCGACCAGCGAGCCCCTCGACTCCTGCCGCGACCACGACCCTCGCTGAGGGCCGCCGCTCATCGGGCGCCTCCTCTGCCTATCGCCGGCGAGCAGGACGGACCCCGCGCGCCGGCAGTTACACACAAGGGGCTGTCGACCGGCAAACACCGGCACTCTCGTTGTTGCCGTGGTCCGCGGTAGCGAGACGTTACACCGCCTGGTGTGAAGTATAAACAAACATCGCCACGAGGGGAGACAAAGGCGGCCGGGCGTGGTGCTGGCCACCCACCCCCTCTTGTGCCGTGCCGGCCTTCACAGGTGCTGCTGGCTAACAGCACTTGCCTCTACAGTCTGTTGAAGGCTACACGGGGGACCTTTGTCTTTGACAGCTCGTTCCTATGGATGGGATTGGGTGAACACCAATCCATCAAAGTCAAATCACGGGAACACGTTGGTGCTTGCGCTGTTCCGATAAGAGCGCGAGGCGACCGCGGAGAGAGGCGCCGGGCCACACAGACGGGCAAAGTCGTCTCGCCGTGGGGGGGAGGGAGGGGGGAGAGGCGTCGCTACGTCGCTCAACTCATCATCGGGTAAAAAAAAAAAATTCGCAAGCGGCGTCTTCAGCGTTCGGCAAAAATTCGCGAGCCGCAACGCCGGCACACGACGGCCTAACCTACCGAAACTACTCTTTACAAAAAAACAATTCCGACCGGAGGCCGCGGGGATCTCGAACGTGTCCGCTGCGGTGCGCGCGGGGCGTTAAAACCGCCGCTGTTGTTCAGCGGTCCAGCGAGCGGCTCGCAATCGGACGAGTTGTGGTGAGTGGGGGGTGGTGGCGTTGATGCAGCCCCGGTGGTTGTTCTATGACGAGACTCGCCCATGCAAATCGGAATTTGGAATTCCACCACTGGCTGTTCAAGCAGCGGGCCGCTGCACGCTGCGACAAGCCGCGTCACCACGGGGTCGGCCGGCGGACGCGGGAATTTGGCAGCACGAAGGAGAGAGGGAACGGGGGCAGAGGCCTCGGCTGGTGAGGGCAAAAAGGAAGGGCAGGCGTCGGGGTGGGGGGCAGGGGCAGGGCGGGCGTGGGCAGGGCAGAAAGGAAGCGGTGATGTCAATGGATCGCGAGGAAATTTGAAGGCGTTGAGTCATCCCGCTCACCCACAGCCTGTTCATCAAGACCATTCCTGCCACAAGCTGTCACCTTAATTACACCGGACATACATTTTTTTTATCAGCCAAAAATATATAATTACGGCGAATCCATTATAATTATTATCACAAGAGGGTAGGCACCTGTGTAATTATGTGTCTGTCTCGTGCCACGTGCAGATAGTCGAGTATGCGCGCAGTGACGCGGGTTTACTGACTCGGTGATTATAATAGAGTGGTTGTCATGCCAATTCGTTTAACCAGAAAAGCCTCAATCAGCCTCAAGCCTCTGATTAGGCAGGAGGGTGCTGCTACATTGCGACGTTTGACGATTTCCGTTCAGTGAGAGGCTGGCTTTGAATGGGGAGGCAATCGGAGCATACGAGGTGATGACCCGAACAGATAGCCCGATAACCCGGGCAGCCCTGTGTTTTTCGGATTGCACCTGCCACGCGTTGTTCGGCGCGATGTTGTCCGACGTTTCCGCTTCAGGTGCAGGGAGCTCCTTCAGGAACTAAATTCAGGCTGCGTGGAGCGAAACGCCGGACAGCCGTAACGGCAGAGCTCGCAGAAAAGCCGGCGCTAACCCTAACGCTTAAAACTGCACACAGATGGGATTCTAGAAAACTCAATGCTTTGCTGTTATCCGCTGGTCTCCTTTGCAGGCCGAGTTGGCCATTCCCCGGGCAGTCTCCCGTCAAATCAGTGACCGGGCCCGTAAACCTGCTTAGAATTCCAATATGTCACGAGAGCCGGGTGAAATTCTGGGTGATCTGGCCGAAGTAAAACAGCGTAAGGTCGTACGGTTAGATCTGGTGACGAGGCTGAAGCCCAGCGGCTTGAGGGGGTGGAAGGGGGGTTCACAATGGCTGTGCAAGAAAGACACACCGTGACCGTGCCAGTAACCACTCGACAACAACAACACCAACACCTGGGCTCGAATCCAGGTTTCAGCCGCACGCGATTAAGCAGAATTCTCAAGTGCAGTGGGTAGAGGGCCTGCCTCAGCCCCGCAATCAGTGACTGCACAATAAAAGCCATCACCGTTAAATAGTTTTTCAGTTAATTTGGATTAATGCAGCTGAGAGGATTATAATTCTTGACTTGATTACCACATGACACGCGGTCTTTGCAGGTTTATAAAGAGTGCCACTTTAGATTGGGTAAGGGAGTTTAGCAGTGGCTCTGCGATGACACCTGAATGAAGTCATTCCAACACGAGGTGTGGTGAGGTGTGTGGTGAGGAGTGTGAGTGTGGTGATGAGTGTGAGTGTGGTGATGAGTGTGAGTGTGGTGGTGGGTGTGAGTGTGGTGGTGAGTGAGTGTGGTGGTGGGTGTGAGTGTGGTGGTGGGTGTGAGTGTGGTGGTGAGTGTGAGTGTGGTGGTGAGTGTGAGTGTGGTGGTGAGTGTGAGTGTGGTGGTGGGTGTGAGTGTGGTGGTGACTGTGAGTGTGGTGATGAGTGTGAGTGTGGTGGTGGGTGTGAGTGTGGTGGTGGGTGTGAGTGTGGTGGTGGGTGTGAGTGTGGTGGTGAGTGTGGTGGTGAGTGTGTGAGTGTGGTGGTGAGTGTGTGAGTGTGGTGATGAGTGTGTGAGTGTGGTGGTGAGTGTGAGTGTGGTGGTGAGTGTGTGAGTGTGGTGGTGAGTGTGTGAGTGTGGTGGTGAGTGTGTGAGTGTGGTGGTGAGTGTGTGAGTGTGGTGGTGAGTGTGTGAGTGTGGTGGTGAGTGTGTGAGTGTGGTGGTGGGTGTGAGTGTGGTGGTGAGTCTGGTGAGTGTGGTGGTGAGTGTGTGAGTGTGGTGGTGGGTGTGAGTGTGGTGGTGGGTGTGAGTGTGGTGGTGAGTGTGTGAGTGTGGTGGTGGGTGTGAGTGTGGTGGTGGGTGTGAGTGTGGTGGTGAGTGTGTGAGTGTGGTGGTGAGTGTGAGTGTGGTGGTGAGTGTGTGAGTGTGGTGGTGAGTGTGTGAGTATGGTGATGAGAGTGTGAGTGTGGTGATGAGTGTGTGAGTGTGGTGATGAGTGTGTGAGTGTGGTGGTGAGTGTGTGAGTGTGGTGGTGGGTGTGAGTGTGGTGGTGGGTGTGAGTGTGGTGGTGGGTGTGAGTGTGGTGGTGGGTGTGAGTGTGGTGGTGAGTGTGTGAGTGTGGTGGTGAGTGTGAGTGTGGTGGTGAGTGTGTGAGTGTGGTGGTGAGTGTGTGAGTATGGTGATGAGAGTGTGAGTGTGGTGATGAGTGTGTGAGTGTGGTGATGAGTGTGTGAGTGTGGTGGTGAGTCTGTGAGTGTGGTGGTGAGTGTGTGAGTGTGGTGGTGAGTGTGTGAGTGTGGTGGTGAGTGTGTGAGTGTGGTGGTGAGTGTGTGAGTGTGGTGGTGAGTGTGGTGGAAAGTGTGTGAGTGTGGTGATGAGAGTGTGAGTGTGGTGATGAGTGTGTGAGTGTGGTGATGAGTGTGTGAGTGTGGTGATGTGTGTGAGTGTGGTGGTGAGTGTGAGTGTGGTGGTGAGTCTGGTGAGGTCTCCGTGTTGCTGAGTGTGTGGTGAGTCGGGCTGAACGATTAATCGATTTCAAATCGAATTGCAATTTGAAACAATGCGATTAGCCAATCGCAAAGGCTTTGATTTTTTGGCAATATGAAAAGTCCTATTACTTTCTTATCGGAATTGTTTTATTTTTTATTATTATAACTTTATTTATTTAACTTGAGAATTGTTCTATGTTTGATTGTTCTATTTCAATTAACATTTTTTTATAAATACATGTTGGAAGCAATTCGTATCTGTAAAGTTCTCATCCTTGCATTATAATATATAGAGCAGTTCATATTTTGATGGTATCATGTGGTAATGCTCCATCACATGTTTTAAATCTATTACACAGTGAATATTGAACTGAAGCTTGACTTTAAAAAATGTAATCACAAATCAAATGGCAATCGCAATATCTGTCAGAAAAATCGCAATTAGATATTTTCCCCAAATCGTTCAGCCCTAGTGGTGAGGTGTGTGTGGTTGAGTGTGTGTGGTTGAGTGTGTGTGGTTGAGTGTGTGTGGTTGAAAGATCTGGGCAAAGTCCCATCGGTGAGCTCCTCCGGCAGGCAAGGCTGCATTGGCTGGGTCATGTAGCCCGCATACCCAGCCACCGCATGCCTAAACAGCTTTTGTTCGGCCGATCGACGGGGCTAAACGGGCTCGGCACGGGCTAGAGAAGAGATGGAGTGATGTGGTACAGGAGGACGTGGAGCTGAGTGGACTTGCCGATGACTGGTACCAGCGGTGTCAAGATTAGCCTCTGTGGAGGAGGCTCGTGAAGGACGCTACTGGGCAGTTGGAGGCAGTCGCCCTCCAACAACAACGGAGGGCGGAGGAGCGATGCTCACAAAAACGAGCGGAGTGTCGGGTGGCTAAAGCACAGCAAGTTGGCACAGTAGGGGGCACAGGTGGTGCATCAGCCAGTCATCTCGGTCATCTCAGTCAGTAGACCCGTGGCACCTGGGTCTGCCCCGTGACCTCCTGCCGGCGGGCATTCGACACTTCACGTGGTAGCCTCAAGGTGCACTTGGCCTGGCACAAGCGTCGTGGTGCGTCACCGCCACTTAGTGGCGAATGGCAGTTGTTGTTGTTGTGGTTGAGTGTGTGTGGTTGAGTGTGAGTTGAGGTGCCCACGTTGCTAAGTGTATGGTCATGTGTGTGCTACTGTGTTTGGTGAGATGTCTGGTGAGGTCCGTGCTGAGGTCTCCGTGTTGCCGAGTGCGCGGTGAGCTGCGGTGAGTGAGGCGAGGGGTGCTGTGCCGTGATCTCGACTCTCACCCGGGCGGCAGGCAGAGAGCCGTAGCCTTGCTGGCGGAGGTGTGGATTCTCAGGGCGGCCGAACCATACTTCCCCGGCTGAGTCCACGAGTGGTGACTGGCCACCAGCGAACCGGGCCCCGCGCTCCCACCGGCCTCCGCGTCATCTGCACGCCGCCAAAAAGCACGCGGCACGCAGAGGTGAAGCCGCAGTGGGGGGCAAAGGGGGGCTCTGTTCAAAGTTCAAAGTTAATTTATTAGGTATAGCCCTGTGAGCCATTCGGCTCTTGAATCGGGTGCAACCGCAACAAAAAAAAAAAACATGAACAAGAAAACATCTTAAAGTGAATATTGACTGAGTGCAAACAGAAAATCCAAGAAAAAACTGCAAAATATTGCAGAAAAATCACCGTACACCAACCCTGTGCAAATATCCCAGTGGGATGCAAGTCAAACAACAACAACCACAAGACAACTTAGATTAAGGTCATCAGTCTAACTCTGTACTACAACAAACAAACATGGCCAAACCAAAAAACTTTTCGAAAAACACCAAAATAAAGCCATAAAAGCAATGAAACAATGCTCATAGGAACTGTGACCGAATTTTCACAATAAACGACGTAAACTACATGTACCACCAAACTCTGCAACCATAGCATGTTGCCCCCCCCCCCCATGGTGAAATGCTAACTCCCTCGCCTGGTATACAGGAGGTCGTGCGTTTGATCCCGACCCTGACGCTTGCTGCTGTATATTTGGAGTTTGCGGTGTCTTTCTCTCTCCCCGTTGTCACGATCATTTTTCCCCGGGTCCTCCGGTTTTTCTCTCCACATTTAAAATCAACGTGCATTCAGGGTATTTGGCTGTTATACATTTACGTGTAACGAGCCACTTCCTTGAGCTATAATTTGTGGCCGGGTCGCTACATAGCTCAACGGACCCGACTTGCTGAAATAAAAATGGCATAGGATAGAAACACTATCCTATGCCATTGAGCTAGAGACTAAAAATACATGTGGACTGGGTTAGGGCGAATGGTCATCATAATACTACTCATCATTGCGTCATTCATGCTAATAGCATCCCATAACGCCGTACATTAATTATATATGACAATCAAATCCCATACACAGCCACTACAAAACCAAATGAAAACCCTACAATCAAGAAAAAGCTAAAATGTATCATACAATGGTAACAGGACAACGTCGTCATCATCATCATCATCACTCCCGGCCCACAGCCCTTGCCCCCCGTGCCTGACCTCCTCACAACCCCCCCCCCGCAACCAAAACGTGTTTTCCCAGCGAGCGCGTACCAAGCTGATAAATCCGACGCTGCTTAAGACGTCTAAGGCGGCGCTGATCGATACGAACGGGGCCCCCGGGTTACGGCGAGAGCTGTTTACCGGGGGGCCTAAATCGGCGTCGTAAATGCTGCCGTCACCCCCCACACCCCCCGCCGTGGACGGCTTCCCTTACCCCCCCCTCTACCCACCCCAGCCAGGGCACAATCAGCTCCAGGGTTTTCATCCTGGGCAGGCTCGCCTGCGAACACGGTGGGGTCATCCATATTTATGACGGCGCTGTTCTTCCCGCAAAGACTCCATAACCCCAACACCACCACCACCGATGCTTCCCCCCCCCCCCCCGGCTTGGCAGACTCGTTGCGGCGAGCAGCAGCTGTGAAGGCCGGGGACATCGCGCACCACTCGCACGCACTGGGAAGTAGTGGATAAAGGTGTCAGTTTGTGTACCCGTTTAAAGGGTAAAAACCTACTACTATATTTTGACACTGGTAAAGGAGGTCTCATAGTGTAAATGCTTACCCCGAGCTATCAATACTCTGATAGTGCACTGTTTTTGAGTTGTACGCCTTTTGGCGTCATCTGGTCCAACACCAATGGAGACTCGGCTCTAAGAAAAGCTGTCTCGGGTGTGGACCAATCAACTTCAAGGACAGTGCATATCAATACCATTATCAGAGTTGTTTCTTTTTGTTTGCATTTTGACTGCTTGTGTTGCGGTTATTGCAATCATGATGCCTTGTATAAAGGTGTCAGTTTTGTACCAGTTGAAAGGGTAAAACCTACTACTAAGAAGTGGACCGTCTGTGGCGGTAGTCGATGTTCAAGAGGCAGACACAACGCGCAGAGACATCAGACAAGGATGCCCCGTGTAGCCTCAACAGACTGTCGGGGCAAGTGCTGTTAGCAAGCACCTACGAAGGCCGGCACAGCACACGAGGGGGTGGGTGGCCAGCATCACGCCCGGCCGCCTTTGTCTCGCCAGCGACGATGTTTACACACCGGACCAGGTACTCATTTGAGGCTGAGTCGACCTAGGGGAGGCCCAGGGCCGGTTCAGACTCGGTACTGGTGATGTCAGTGAGTGGGAATCAACCTCAGGTCGCCGGGTTCATAGCAGAGCACGCTCATCGCTACACTACCGCTCCCCACAGACACACACACACACGCGCCGCCCACACATCATACATAATCTCCCAACCACACCAAGACAAAGATCCCCCGTATAGCCTTAACAGACTGTCGGGGCAAGTGCTTTTAGCGAGCACACGAGGGGGTGGGTAGTCAACACCACGCCCGGCCGCCTTTGTTTTCCTAGTGACGATGTCTACACACCGCACCAGGTACTCATTTGACGCTGAATCGACATCGGGGAGGCCCAGGACCGGTTCAGATAATCGTCACCGGTGTTGGCCGTGAGCGGGAATCGAACACGGGTCGCCGGGTTCATAGCGCAGCGCGCCAACCGCTACACCACCGCTCCCCACACACAACCGCACGCACGCACACACACACCGCCCACCACCCACACACGCACACACACACCGCGCACAACACACACAACACCGCGCCAGCAAGCACCACCCACGCCACGCAACAGATCTTCATCGCAACAGATCTGCACCACCGCCCGCACAACCCCACCCCACCCCCCTTCACTCCCCACGGCACCAGCACATCTCTGCCGAGCCCACCGTGGCACCAGGCAGCGAGACGCGGCGCTTGCGAGCTCCGTTGTGTAATTCTCCGCATGCGCACGGTGGCTGCCGGGCGCCTCGCCTGGAATTGATTTTAATTGCCCTGGGCTGTCGGGGAAGAGAATCCGCTAGAAAATTTCGACTCTCAATTCTCACTCCCCCCTCTCTTCTCTATTTCTCTCTCACCTACCGCCGCTCCCTTAATCCGAGATCCCCTCTCTGTCCTTCCCGCCCACTCGCCCACCTTCCATTCATTCCTCCTTCTCTACATCGCTCCCACCTTTTCAAAAAACACACGGGCATCATCTACACACACACACACTGGTTCATTAACCACACAGCTCCACCACACACCGCCCACACGCACATCTCCACCACACGCACACACGTGTCCACCACACGCACACACGTGTCCACCACACGCACACACGTGTCCACCACACACCACCCAGACTCATATCCACCACCCACAAACAGCTCCATCACACACACACACAATGTCTCCACCACAACACCCATACACAGACCACCTACACACATCTCCTTCACACACACACACACACAGATCTCCACCACAACACCCACACACACACCACCCACACACATCTCCTTCACACACACAGATCTCCACCACACACCCCTCAACACACACACACACGCGCGCAGTACAAGCGAGCTGCAGTTTTTCTTTAACCAAATTTCAATCTTGACAGTCAAACCTCGATCGAGAAAGTGTGGGTTCCTATTTGGTGTTTATACCATGATATAGGGGAGCATGGCGGGAGAGGGGGGGGAGTCAGAGCTGGGATTATTCCGCCTCCACACAGAGAGGGCGGTTGTGTGGATCACAGAAACAGAGCATGTTGTGTGTGTGTGTGCGGTGTGTCTGTGGAGCAACAGCGTCGCGGTCAAGGTGCTGCACTACAAACCCGGCGACCCGAGTTCGATTACTGCTCACAGCCGACACCAATTATCTGAACCGGTCCTGGGCCTCCCCTAGAGGTGCGACGTGTAAACATTCGGGAGACAAAGGCGGCCGGGCGTGGTGACGGCCACACACCCCCTCGTGTGCCGTGCCGGCCTTCATAGGTAATCGCAAATAGCACTTTCCCCAAAAGTCTGTGCAGGTGTTTGCTCGTGTGTGTGTCCTCATGTTAATGCATTTAGATCGGGGTGATTATGTCGGTGAACAGGCAAGTGGTGGGTCAGCGAGAAAGCTATCGGGCAGCGGAGCAGGTTGGTGAGTGTGTTGGTGAGCGGGAGTCTGGTTGGGCGAGACGGTGAGCAAATGGGTTGGTGGATGGGTAAGCGAGTAAGTGTATGGATTGGGCGAGTGGGTGAGTGAGTGGGTGGCTGGTTGGGTAAGACAGTGAGCAAGCGAGGGAGCGAGTGGTTGGGTGAGCGAGCAGGTGAGTGCGTGGGCGAGAGAGAAAGTGTGAGCTAACGTGGGTGAGCGGGCAGGCGAGCAGGTGGGTGGTGGAGCGAGCGAGCGAGCGAGGCAGCAAGCGAGTGGAAAGGAAAAAAATCGCTCGCCTACTGGGAGCACACAGCTAAGAAATGTCATCTCATTGTTTTTTTTACTAATTTCACACGCGGCTCCCAGCTGACTTGGACACACCACCCCACACCGCCAGCCCAGAATTAAACTAAATCTGGACGTGGCCCAACGATTTATTTCATCTAAAATGTTCCGAAAACTTCCCCCGGCTCAAACTGGGGCATATTGCACCCATCCAATAAATAAAAAAAACTGTCGAAATATTAGACAATGTGATTTACGTGGAGGTGGGCCGAATGACTCAGGAGGTTAGGAACACTGAGCCGACCACGATGGTAGCCTGGGTTCGAATCCAGGTTTTAGCCACCCATGATTAAACTCGGTGACCGTTCGTTTATATGTGCCATGATGAACTTCTTTCGCACAGTACGTAGCCAACCGCGCTAATTGAGGTGTGGGGGAAGGACAACAAACTAAACACAAAAAGGAGTTCTAAAGTAATGGGGTTTTCAATCTAGATTATTTAACTGTACATAGCTCCAGTGACTTTCTAATATCGGAAAGAAGAGCTTTCCAGACGGACGCAAAAGCGCATCTGAAAGTGCTGTCGATACGGTGACCGTCTTTGTTCGATGTCCAGCCAATAGCCGCTGCTACTGCTGC